CAGGGACCTCCTTCCGAGAGACAAACACATCTGCTGTTCAAACAAGGTTCTCTGTCAGGCCTATATGTTGCAGAGGTTTTCCTCCTTCTCATACCACACTTGAGCGGCATAGTGGACTCCAACACTTCAAGGACTTTTTTAAGACCGCTTCCTCTTATTCCCTCATATAATTGAGGCACAGTCTTTGTGAAAAACGCTGACAGCGGCAGTTAGCGGTGGTAAGAGTTGACTCAAGACTGGCCTTTCACTTCGATATCAGTATAAAGTAGGGCGCGGGCCGTCTCGCAGTGATGTGTGCAGACATACACCAGGTGGTTCCCTATGTCCTACTGGGTGGAGTTCTCCTAGGCAGCTCACTGATCTTAGAGTTGCTTCTTGAACTCGAAAAGAATATGCAGCCTCAGTCTGACAAAATGTTGAACTGGTGCCATTGCCATGAATACGCCACGTGCCATTTAATTTCGAACAATTCCTGGAACAATCATCATCTTTGTTGAATCCAAGTAAACGCAACAGACAATTGATGGTTTCAGCGGGGGGGTGGGGGGGCGGCACGGGGGGGCAGTGGTACTCGGCTTCTGTCTCAAACTAAACATTTAGCAGTTGCAAACTCTTGTCTTCCGTGACTCAAAGGCCCCTCTCCATTCTCTTTACTTTTTATAACCACACTTTTTTTTTTAAACCACAAACCCAACACAAGAAGCCCCTCGCGCTGCGCCTGGACCGCCGGTGGGAAGCAGCGCACATGCAAACAAACAAGAGTCTCGCAAAGAGTGGTTTGGTTTTGATGGACGGAGAACTTGCACAGCGGTTTGGCCGAAGCTTTCATTGTCAGACTCAAGGCAGCGGGACACTGCTCTTAGTATTTCTTTTCTTTTTTTTCCTGCCTTAATATTTTGTATTCAAATATTGACATTGCTTTGGCATACAAGGTAGCAACTCTGGCCTTTGATAGCGACCCCCCGCCAACGCTTCCCCCCCCCCACAAAAAAAACAACTTTTGAAATACTTATTTTTGGAGAAAAGAATGTGACTCAAACTGCTCTGGTGGGGATTGGAGGGATTCAGGAAATTAGGCTCTCAAGACACTACAGACTAAAACTACAGAGTAAAGCACCTTACTACAGAACATCTGATTAATACCAAACCGACCACTGATGGTGGAATACTTTTCATAGATTTTTGAAAGACATGCACATAAGGATTCCCTATCATTTTTTTTCTATTATGGTGGTTCTTGTTATTCTTAATACTGAAGTGGTACTAGTGGTAATTTGGGAGACCTCTCGTCCATTTGGTCCATGCTGGTGACTTGGTTGAGTTTTGCACTGGTTTTAATGAAGAGAGGGTTTTTTGGAGATTCTCCCCTTTTAGACGCCGTGTAGGTTAATGAGTATTGTACTTTATGGGAAAGCATCTATGTAAATACAGTATGTGTATCGGTTATCAACATCCAGACAAAGGCCGCGCTTAAAGTGAGGTTTTGATTATTTTTACAAGCCGGGGGTTTCATCGTCAGCGTTTTAGCAGGAATTCAAACTGTCTCTACGTTTTTTAAAAGTAAATCTTTTATATATACGTCCCATCAGCTTTTTGACTATAAAAGTATAATAGATGGATCCTTAAGTTTAAGAAATATTATTTAAACTGATTAACTTAGTATTCCATCCAAATATATAGATAAGGAATTAAGCAGACACTACTTTAAACTGTAATAATGAATATCCTTTATGAAGCCGCTGATGTATAAGACGAATCTCAAAAGAAAACTGGAATGAATAGTACGTGTAATAAGCCCAAATGAATAAATCTGTTTCTATGTATATTAGGATGAAAAGCAATAATAGGACTATACTGGGACAATAAACAGAGGAGTCTGCTTAGTCAGTTCTCTAAAAAATATTCTATTCCGCAATTGACCTTGATTATTAGGATACCAGGGCGTTTGTGTCTTATATTTGCTTAAAATCCATTACGGATTCACGCCAGTGTAAAAAAAACAAAAAAAACAACAACAACCGGAAATATAATGACTTTGTAACGGTTTCAGGATAAGTATTTGTTCTTGTTGTGTTCATCAGGGTCTTAAATCATTGGATTGCTTCTTATGTTTTATTTACGTTGACTATCAATCAGATCACAGGGTGGGTCACGAACAAACTGAACGGATTGAAATGCAAATTTCAGGGACTTGAACAGTGTCCTGAAGGCTGTTTTTCTGGTGGAGAGGGGGGGGGGGGGCACTGCACCCCCATGGAAGAGCTTTGACTAGCCTCACCGCTGTTGGTGGAGCTAAGCATATCGAAAGAAGTCTCACCTTCGCTTGACGGCGCGTTTTTTCGGGATTCACGGCTCTATTTTATACTTGATTTGCACCAGCTTTTCTTTCTATCTGTATTGTTTTTAAGAGGAAGAAAAAAAAAAAAAAGGTCAGATGTAGCCAAAGAACAAAACACAAGGAGAGGACTTATCACTTGAGTTAGTTTTATTCTAGCATAGAAAAAAAATCAACTTGGTTTAGAGTTTACCCAAAAGTCTCAGAGGCCACGCGATCGATGTCTGTGGAATGACGGCATATCATGTTTCAGTGTTGTAAGATTAGTTTAATACTACGGAGGCGCCGGCAACAGACTTACTTCTCCCCAAAGAGATCAGCTCAAAGCACATCCTGGCACTTACGCGGTCCTTTGAGGCGTCCTTTTTTTTTTTGGTTGTTGCTATTGTCATGTTTAGGTTGACGGGAGAACAGCTCCGCCGATCTGGAGGAGTCCAGCTAAAAAGGGACTTCCCACGTGATGTGATATAAAAGAAAAAGTAGGCTGAGAAGTAATTGTGTTGACAATGACAAGCCAGTGAAATATTCCTAATATTCTGAGGCCCTTTGGAGTGAACGCACACTGCAAACAAGGCGAACAGAAACACTGTTTTTCAGTAATTATTGTTTGAAGGAGCCGCTGACTGTATCCTGAAGTTTAACTGCATGCTACTCAAATATAGTACAGTAGGTAAGATTTATCAGAAAAAAAGTTAAGATCGCTTAAATTATTCGTCAGCCTAAACCTGAAGTTTATAAAAAGCTTTAAGACCTTAAAGTCAACATAGGTTTAAAATCATATATTTACCGTGTAGTTTGACTAAGTGATACATAAAGTTTAATTATGATTCTTAAGAATATGCTACGGTGTAAGTTTCATTTGTCCCAACTCACCCAGTATGAAACCCGTTTTGAGTGGAGCAGCGGAAGGGGGGTGAGGGTGACTCAGACATCTGATTCATTAAGTTCTTGTTAGTATTATTTACAATATTGTATTAAGCTTACTATTATAGTAATGGTAGAAACTGTTGATGTTTTTCTTCTCTTGATATGAAAAGGTCTTTATGCATTTATGTGGAATCCCCTCTGAGGAGTGATAGGAAATCCTTATTTTCAATGGATGCACTTAAGCAATTGTACCAACCTGTCGAAATCCACATTGAGGAAGAAATGCATTTGAATGTAAAAAAAAAAAAAAAGCAAAAAAAAAAAAAACCCGACCACTCGACTCAATGCACTCCTTATGCTGATTGTTTTGTCAATTTACAAGTGAGCTTTAATTTTTTGTTTGTTTTTTGGAAAGACTTTGCGGCGGTTTTCAACGTAGACTATATTTGAGTTCTTCCACATACATTTATAGAAAGTACCTTAAAATGAATAAAAAAAAATTTAAAAAAACATACAGTTTCTCAAATCTATTTTGCTAACATGGGTTATTATTTCATAGAAAGCAGAGGAAAAAAAGTCAGTATCTGGATGTTATTTATGAAAAGTAAAAAAAAAAAAAATGAAGCAACATATTTATGAGTAACCTCGAGACATTTTGTTTTTTAATTAAAATGACAAGAAGTTAATATATTTCTAAACACAGGGAGGTTTCTACTAATAAGCAAAAATGAGAAAAGGAGTTTAGAAGTTTTATTTATGAAAGTTGTGGGCGCTCGACTCCTCCGTGCACCTGGTGCTACGTGACGTAAACGGAGGGAGTCCCCCGTGGCTGAAATTTTAACTTCAGGCGTGCACGACTTTAACACCAGTGCATTCACAATGGAATAATTACAGAAAATAATATAATATTTTTTAGAATTTGGATATATTTTAGTCACAGAGCATCAATTTTGTGCCTCAATTATATATATTTTTCCTGCATCAGCATTCTTTGTACAGTGCTGCTTGCTGTAACCCCCCCGAACTCCCCACCCCCTTCAACTAACCCCATGTTACTGACTGAAACGCATAACTCATTTCCTCTGTAATCTAAACTCGCTTTTACTTATCAAAACCTATGAAAACATGTTACGACTGCTTGGAGTGAACGAAGCAGCCACGCCCCCCCCCCCCCCCCGCACACAAATTGTACACACTTTTTTTTATACGTTTTTCACACCCTCCACTCCCACTGTTTGTGAACAACAGCGAGAGCGTAATCAGCTTACCGGAAGCCTTTGAGAGACTTCCCACCCCCCCGTGTGTCACTTGGGCGAAGTTTGCAAAAAAAAGAAAAACGAGAAAACTGAGTGGAAGCACCTCGGAGAGGACGGCGGCGCGCTGTGTCGTAGATCTTGTAACTAGACACTCACATATACACAAAACAGGTTCATTACCGTACTAGCTTGCATGTATGTTGTATGGTCACTTAGTCAGGAGGAGCGGCGCGGGGCCCGTAGGCGTCCTGCGGTGTCGGCGCACTTGGGCCGTTTCTCCTCTGTAGATTTTCATAGTTGGGAGTCCCTTTGGAAAAGTCAAACAGGAGTTTGGAGCCAGATAAAAATAGAAAAAAAGAGCCCATTTCAGTCCCCACATCAAAAGTTGGATTTCTGTTTTCTAAGTTTGCTGTTTAATCGATTAGAGACAGTCCCCCGCCTCACACGAATTAACTCGCCATTCTCAGTTCTGCAATGAAAAGACAAAAAAACATAAAGAGCACCACAGCGGTGGCGTAAAAAGGACGGGGACTGAAGTGGCGCTCGCTGGTGAAGCTCGCGACCTCTTCCAGAGGGGGTCAATACAGTCTGACAGTTTGTCTTTGGTAGCGTTTCCAAATGTTCCAGCACAGTAGAGGTGTTTCATGCCGGTCTAATAGTGGTCGTAGTGCATTAGTTTTTTGGGTCAGCATCAGCTGGCGTTAGTTTCTGGTTTCTCTGTGGACGGTGGAAGAGGGGCGCCGACGTGGCCCCCGGTGGCTGACCGTCAAACTTTGATGGATGAAAAAAAAGGAAAAGAGAAGTCTTTGAACTCTGTTACAGTATGCCGTGCCATTACAAGGCATGCAATATTGCAGGTTTATTTGTTATAGCACATGTTTTTTTTGTGAATTACATTTTTGGGGACATTTTTATTATTATTGTATCTGCGCCATGTTAGTTCTGGTTCTTTGTTATTTTTCCAAGATTCAAGATGTATTGTAAATGTTTCTAATAAAACAAAAATGAAATGAATTGTAACCCTTGCATTTATTCTTTTTCTTCTTATTCTTTTTTATGGCTTATGGTGATATATTTTAATCCCGGTGATCACAGGATCTATAATTTTGTTTAATAACAGCAGAAATAGTTAATAAATGGATTCTGCCCTCCACCACATTCATTAATGAAAAAGCCAGCTACTTGCAGCCTTTGTCGTTTAAAGCATCTTAAGAGAGACATGAGAAGAGTCGGGCTATAACAAATAAGATTTATTTATACATATGCAGTCCAAATATACATATATTAGAATAAATGTTTAAAAAGCCCTAACCCTCACCACCCAGTTTAAGACCTCTGAAGTCTCAGAAGTTAGTGTGTATGTGTACAAACACATAACCAGGATAAACACCATTGGTGTGCATAACCTTTGGATTTAATTAAGACCCTCCTAACGCTAACCCTCCTTTCTCCGTTCCCTCGATCCATCAAACTATTAGATACTAACAAACCCAATCCTGGCTCCCCGAATACAACCCCCGCCCCCTCCACAGGAAATAAAGACAAGTGAGAGCGAGGGCAGACCTCAGGGAGATCCCAGAAGGCAGAGTCCTGTTCCAGTTACATACAGTGTGGAGACACAGAGGGGAGGAGCAGGTAGCAGGCAGTGGAGGATTTCACTTACAGTAAAACAAGCCATCTCGGCTGCATCAGAGACCACAGCAGCGGGGCAGAGAGCCCTCACTAACTCATCCCCTGAAACAGTATCCAACCATCTATCCCCAGCAAGCAGGCAGCAGCAGCAACAGCAGCAGCAGCAGCAGCAGGCTCGTCCAGGCACTCAAACCTATTCCCCAAATCGGGCGCAACAGGGAAACGGCCGTCAGGAGAGCCGCTGCTGGCATCCCACCGACATGTGAGGCGGTAAACTCGCTCACTAGCGACGCAAGCTTTGCGCGCCGTTAACTCTAAATGAGACGGGATAGCTGCAAGAGCATGACTCATCTGTAGAGAACAAAGTGCGCAGGGCAGGGAAGCCTTCAGATCAGCTTTTAGAAAGAAATGACATGTAACCGGTGGGGAGGGATGTTGTTGCTCGCGAGTGGAACACAACGTCACTCAACCGACTTTGACCAAATTCCAGCATTAGCATTTAGCAAAAAGAGGACGACTTGAAATCCTTGTAAATGCGTGCGAGAGTTTGCTTTGATATGATTGTGGGCACCGAAATGCAAGAGAGCTTCCTCTTCTGCAAAGCCATCATTGGGGAACATCTGAACCAAATGGTGTTAAAATTGCAAAACCGCTTGGCTGGAGAAGACCATAATCTAATGTTCAATAAATATTGTACCAGACATTATTTTTCTAAATACTATACATTTAAGTGAAAATAGGAATGACTGCGGCGACAGAAGGGTAGCAGGTCTTTTGGATGTGGATTTTTATTGCCCAATATACTGGTGGTGGGGAAATGAGATAAAGCATTTACTGGCAGAAATAGAGCTTTCAAAAAGGGAGGACAGTTTTGAAAGACAGAAATCATGATGAGATACAAAAAAAAGGAACCTCATAACCATTACATTGTTCATCAGATTATGAATCACTTCTAATCGGGTTCCTCTTTTTTTAAAATGCTTAATGCACCAGATGTACGTGGCATCTCACCAGTTTCCCTCCCATTGACACTTTTCCCTGCACACCGCAAACCCCGTCTAAACTTCTTTACTGCCCCTCTCTGCCCGGTCCCCCTCTTCAAACTCTACCACGTTGTCTTAACAGGACAACATATGAATAAACTGTTCTGTGTAGTCTGTACCTGCCTCTCCTTTCTCCCCGTTCCATCTGTCTGTCTCTGTCTGTCTGTCTATCTGGTCGTTTCTCCAACTGCTCGGAGGTGAAGGAGGAGGTCAGTGGTAAGGCCTCAGTTGCTCTGGCAGCAGACGCCCTTATTGGCTGAGTTTTGGGTGGGCTCAACCGTGATGGGCACTACGTTGGAAGCAGGCGAGAAGTCGGAGTCGCTTCGCCCGGACATCTGCCGCTGTGACACGATGTTGTAGATGGCTGTGATGGAGAGAAGGGTGAAAGGGAGTGAGTTACTTGTAGATGCCTACAAATCCAGCCAATAGTGGGACATATTGTGATGAGGACAAACAACATGGCAAAACTGAACAACAACTGTTGTATCCAGACTGCTGGCAGCAGAGAAGGATTCTTTTCCTTCCTAGACTGGCATCGTGTGGCAGCGCTGCGTCTCATTTTCGGCATTCTGCGCTACAATATGCACTACAGTTTAGATTTAAAAACTGCATCGTCCAAATAAATATCATAGATTGTGGGATTTAATTTTGTGAGCCTGCTTTCCCGTGTTGGAAGGAAAATACAACAAAGTCACAAATTTAGCAGACCAGGGCTGTTCGAACAAACACAGGTGACCTTATAGGAGAAGGCTGTGCAATCAGAGTAGATGGTCAATTCAGCCGATCGACGGAGTAAATCCCTCCGCGTGCGTCTCACCCACAGAGAACGCTGCCAGATCGGCTGCTCTTCTTGCATCCAGCGCCAGGATGTGATGTGGCGGCGACGTAGTCGACGGCAAGAAAGAACTAAAACGCACTGTGCCGTGACACGTCAGGTGGAGAAACCATGACCCATTACTCCAGAGACAACGTAATCCGCTAGGACTGACCTACACGCCGTCTGGCGCTGATATCCCCACACACACACACACACACACACACAACGACTTCTCTGCTCCGCTGGGTCTAAAGTTCAGCTCTAACTGGGCCGCTAACGTTCAGCTTACTTCCTCTTTTCTCGTCCCTTAACGAGCTAATTAGCTACATTAGCTAAACAGAGGCTTGTTGGTTTGATGTTACCGTTTAAGTTACTGATAAAGCTGCGGTGGGGCCAGAATGTCTCACGCGGCCGAGGCTTCTGGGAGTTGAACACAGAGCAGAAGCAGGATATAAACAGTAAGTGGCGCAGATTGATAGCCCTTTGGAGCAATTGAAGTGGAAGCATCACTCGCTGTTGGACTGCTCCTTTGTGCACTCCAGGGGTTGACTCTGTCACAGAAATTGGGTTGTTGTTTTTTTTCTACACGGTACCAAATCAACAACATCTGATGCACTAGTTACTGCGTCTATTTTTCTCCAAGGGACACAGTTTGTAGACATCTGCGTGAAAAAACATCTGAACCAGCATCTTGAACAGATGCGTCTGGTACAGTGAGTCTTTGTGGTATTGTGACCAAAGACCGTTAGCGGTTTGTCAGTGATCGTCAGACATCCAACAGCGCTCTCTGCCACTGGTTGGCTGAGCGCTCTTTCATTGTGCAAAACCATCGTATTTTATTTGGGTGGTGTCCTTACCACAGAGTGCCCATTCAGTGATGGGCAGAGAAAACTGATAAGATGGATTTTGCTGCCATCTAGTGGCAGAGGATGAGTGTTATGTAAACATTCATTGAATGATTGGATGGAAATGTAACACTTTCAGCCAAATCAATATACAGTGGGTTTGTAATATTATAAACACATATAGATAGATACGTGTGAATATGTAAATATATTCATATACACACACACACATATATCATTTGATGACTTAGGAGCCTCATTTATTCACTCTAATTTGACTTAAACACTCAAACTGGCAATAAATAAGCACAAGTGTGAAACCCACCTGTAAGAATCGTCTGGAAAGCCAGCTCCACATTAGAGGAGTCCAACGCGGACGTCTCCAGGAAAGAAAGGCCATGTTTCTCTATAAAACACACATGCAAAAATTGTGAAAAGCCTGCATCATTTTAGACTTTCATAAGTATGCTGAGCTGATGTGTGTTAGACTGGCATTAACACAGCACTGATTCAGGAATTGATTTCTTCTGCATAATGCACTCACTCCAGGGTTCCCCCGTAGAAGGTTAGTCATTTCAGCTGCTTCCTGTTTGAGTGCTCAGTGAACAGCTTTGTACTTATGGGATATCTAATGGGTTGTGTGACAGCAGACTGGTTTGCTATATATTTACAATGTGCTGAAATACAATGGTGTTATTCACAAAGGCAGAATGAGGAATATAATGGTTCATATTCTGACCATGAAAACCCTTTGAAAGCAAATAATACAGTCTGCCGGGATACAAATTCTATTAAAAAAAAAGGATATACGGACTAAGGCAAGAGTAATCTGTATCCAAATAAGGAATAATGGTTTACTCTGTACGTTTCCATTTATGTATCCTTGCGAAGCATTGTGAGAGTGAGCCAGGGCCCTGAAACCAAAGCGGCTTAATGGAATTTAGCCATCAAATCATATTGTTTCTTAATGTGAAAAATGCCTTCTATTTAAAAAAAACGGTTTAAAAAAAAACCTGACAAAAATCCTATCAAAAAGTCAGAAATGTGGCTTGTTATGCCTGATTGATCTGACCAAACAAAAACATAACATAGAACTAAGAAACATGTCCCATTTTTGAAGTCAGCAAATATATTATTGACATATTATCTTGGCAATCATCATGTATCACTCTCATTATCTCAATTTGTCCTTTCTTCACAATCTGTACATTCTGACTCAAAGTATAGAGCTGAACATTTGTCACTGACACATGCGAGGGGATCATTGTCACACAGTGAGACATCAGATTCACTGTTGGGTTCTTTAGGAAACCCTTCACTCGTGGCATTGCGACACACTTTGCATGGACACGTCCGCCCCCATGGTATTCATGTAAATTAGGCATCAGAAATTGTTTTTCTGTGCTCCAGGAAAACAAATCAGTCAGTTAAGAATGCAATAGGAGTATTCTTCCAGCAAAGAAAAATAATTATTTTTACTCTAATATAAATCAACAAGCTGGACGTTCTTACAGGTCGTCCTACCAAGAGTCATTTACCAGTCCAAGCAAATACATCACTGACTTGGACCCATGCCGAGAAACTCAAGGGCACAAGAGAACACGTGGCCCAACAATCTGAAGATAAAAAAGGAAAGTGTAAAAAAAAAAAAAAAAAGTTTCAAGGTGGGGAATAAAAACTGTACTGCAAGGCTACAAGTCTTAAAAATCTAATTACGGCAGCTCGATTCCAGCTCAGTTCATCTAGCTCATTTCCCAACCTTAACGTGGCAGGAGTGAGTCAGTCCACACGCACACCCAATACCTGCCAAGGCCTTGGCCTCATCTGTTGGCACCGCCCTCAGGTGGCGTAGATCACTTTTGTTGCCCACTAGCATGATGACTATGTTGCTGTCCGCGTGGTCCTGCAGCTCCTTCAGCCAGCGCTCAGCATTTTCATACGTCAAGTGCTTGGCAATGTCATAAACCAAGAGAGCGCCAACTGCTCCGCGGTAGTACCTGAAAAAACGCGAGAGGAAGTGAACATGAAATACATAAAACCGAAGCAGCAAACTTATTCTTGTCACAGCGTGTTGAAAAAACGGCAGACAAAGCTCACAAGACAAGGGAACATCGGCTGACGTTACTTATTTTTAATTGAAGACTGGTTATAAAATCTTCCTGGGTGCCTGTGGGGGGGCCGTGTACAGCACATGCCAATGCCTCAGGGTCGGTTACGCCATCGAGGCCGGCAACTAAAAAAAGAGCGTCAAACGTTGGGACGGGAACTCGATCGAGGGACGAAGAGGAAGCTGTGATTAACAAAACGCTTCCTGCCCCGGGGCAAAAAGGTTGCAGTTGTAGAATTAATCCCTCCAGAGAATATATTGTTTTAACTATTTTAGGAAGACTGAAATGATGCATTGTGGATGACTCTCCCACAACCATAGACGTTCTCCATGCAGTGAAGCAACATGGGATTGTGAATAACATTTTTCAAAACACAACAATAAAAGTCTCTTGTACAGTCCTGTGCTTACTATGAATCTGTAGCGAGAACATTGACAATTAAACCGCCGAGTCTCATTTGAGGACACATCATATTCCTCAAGAGAACTTGTGTGAAGTGGTTATTATCACTGCTTATGTGTGACAGACATCACAACAATGTAAAGGAGCTTCCACAAAGGCTTCAACGAGGACTGTGTTGTACTCACGCGGAAGTGATGGCGCGGTATCGCTCCTGTCCAGCCGTGTCCCAGATCTGAGCCTTGACGGTCTTGCCCTCTACCTGGATGCTGCGAGTGGCAAACTCCACCCCGATGGTGCTCTTGCTCTCCAGGTTGAACTCATTTCGGGTGAAGCGGGACAGCAGGTTACTCTTCCCCACCCCTGAATCTCCAATCAGCACCACTACAGGGAGACACAAGGGGGGGGGGGGGGATATCAGATAAAGAATGAACAGCCCGCGTCAATTACAGGGTCTATTGGAGGCTCTCCACCATTTTCACTTTTTAAAATTCAACTTTCTACACAGTGGTACAAAACAATCAAGTTGTCATGAATGAAAAACACGTATGGAGAATAAACTTACACATCATTGCGCCTAAACAAATCAGCATACTTTATTGTAGAGGAAAATTCATGTAAACCATAAATATGTTAAGAAAACAAGATGGGTCGATCTTTCTTAAATAAAATCTGATCCTTCGTATTCTCAGATAGCCTGATTCAATGACGCATGTGTGTGTGGCTCCCGGCCACACTTTGGCAGACACTCACAGGCCGCCCACTGAGCAGACAATACTAGAAGCATCTGATCTTTTCAGGAAATACCCGCAGTTTGGAAGCAGGTGAAACAGGCGAAACAGGCAACACGATGCAGATTTCACCAGTCAAATGTACTTTGGTCATGAGAGCATTTGAATGATTATGTTCAATGCTTTTTCTTAAATCATCAGGAGAACTGAAACATAGATTATACCGCTGTTATTTAACTTAATTAGTAAAAATTAAGTTCCCCTTCGTTTTTTTTTTAAAACCTGAATTGAAAATTTTCAGACCTCCGCACCTAAAACTGGGCACTAACTCTGGAGACAAAACTCTGCTGAAGTTTTTGCAAATGCCAAGCACTCCCTTCTAATTACTTTAGTTTTCAGGTCACCATTTACACTCCCACAATCAAAGCATACAAATCTGTTAAAGCTAACATTAAAGAAGACTACACTCAGAAAGGGCCCTGCTTTTGGATCACATGCAAACGGAAGTAGAGCCCTTACGGATTATATTATACTAGGACTGTAAATAACTAGATTTACAATTTTTAGCTATTCCTTATACTGTGTAATCCTGAAAATATAAAAACAGAAGTGTGGATGCTGCGATTCCGCTTCTGGACCTGCAGTGTACATAAACGGGCATTATTAGGGTGGGTCTTTTATCACAAAACTACTTCCACAATTGGCAGGTGAGTCAGTGTGTCAAAACGAACCAACCACACACCTCCCTGGTACCATGGAATAGGAACTTATTATGGAATGTTGAAATGGGATTGACCAACCACCGTGTCTCCACTCGCATTTAAGCAATACCGAGTCTACGGAGCTGTGGTGTAACAAGCACGAGTAGAAACCTGTTGGTATTAAAAGGGCTGACTTAGACCTCACACACCACCAGTCTGGCTCCTCTACGTGACTTAAAACAACGTAAGATTGTTATTCTTGATATCGTCAAAGACAAAAGAGTCGGGTGAAGGACAAAAACACATTATGTAAACATCTGACATGGGACGGGTAATATCACGGCCGCGGTACACGCCCACTCACTATTGTTGGGTTTGCATTCTTCAGCTTAAAAAAAAAGATATGACACCTCTCAATTACAACAGAAATCACCACACCCAGGTATCCATCCCAGATAATAATTGTCAGAAGGTACAGTAGAAATACAGAATTGTACGGAGTATAATACTGAGAATCTGAGCTCTCGGCCTGTGCAGTCAATTTATATCCCCTGAATCCCTGTGAATGGAATAACCTAACTATCACATTAAGTCCAACTGATGTGGAATTAAAGCAGTGTATAATGCTGGAAATCATCAAGACACCATTTCTATTAAAGCAGAGTGACTATTTTCTCACCAGTACTGATTTCATAGCAGTAAAATGCATCAATGACATTTAAAATACACATATTGTTTAGCCATGTAAATAAGCAGATGACCGTAACATATGATGATCAGTTGGGCAGAAAAAAAAGAAAGAATTTATCATTTAGTATGCAACGTTTCTACAACAAATACCCAGTATTGAGGCTCATACCAGTCACTAAAATGAACATGGACAGTCAAATGAAGGCGGACTTCATGCACTTGACGTGTCGCCATCAATAGGGTTCACATGACTCACTAACAGCCTGTCAAACTTGACTCGGGCAATCTAACAGCAATGGACAAAAGGAGGTTGTGGGAACAAAGGCGAGCCGTGACAGTACTGCTTCAGCTCTTTCCTGGTTCCAGCAGAGGACGGAAAAGACACCAGATTCTTTTTAAGTGTCCTTGCAATGAGTTTTAGTCAAATTTGCTTTTTGGTCGTCATGAGTCATGTCATCGTAGCTGTGGTTGAGTGAGCGATTGAGTTAATCTCATCTTCTCGATGCTCAGAAAATAGTTCCACACAAACTAAACACACAAAGGGCATGCAGGTATTTCCAGTTTTACAACACATCGGGTGTTCCAAGTGAACAGACGCTTTCCATTTTGCTTTTGACAAGATTGAACTATGAACTAGTTTTTGTACTAGGTAGCCATGAAGCCCAAATACACAGTATTTTTGAACCAGACGGCACACTGTGGTATAATGTTTCTGCCTTTAAAAAAAAGGACCTTGTTTTAAAATAAGTAGTCACCAGGCAAACTTACTGTGGCGTATGATCTGGACCATATTGAGGGATGGTAAGTATTTACGTTAAGGCGGCGTTACAATTGAAGGCGGCATTACCTGTTATTTTGGCATTTGGCATTTGGATTCAGGTACAGTTCAGTACACGGTGGAAAAAACAAGGAACCTAAACTCCATTTATTCTCCTATTAAGTATGGATGAAGGTATGGATGGAGGTCTGGGGTTGTTGCCCTGCCACAGATAGTGAGTGACCCCCCCCCTTGTTTATAAACACAGCATTCCCCCTTATACGGTTACGTCATACGTCTTACGTACCAGAGGGTCCCTGAGGTACCTCAAAAAGCTGCCTGTGCGTGGTGGACGCGTGCAGCACCGTGTGCACACGACGCGTCCTCGGAGGCAGCAGGTGCCCTCGTCTCTGACGTCGCGCGACACCTTCTTGTTCGGCGCGCGGGTCACCGCCTCTTGACAGGTGACGAAAGGGGGGCTCGGCGCCGAAGTTCAGCTAACTAGCGAGACCGACCGACAGCTACTCACCCTTGAAGAGGTAGTCGTATTCGTCCTCTCGGTTGGTCATAGCTCCGCTTCTCCGGCGTCTCTACGTGGCTGAACTCGTCGAGTCGAGCCAACTTGTGGCGTGTTTTCAACTCGACGCTACTTCGCGACGCGACGACTTCGACGTTGAGTCAGCCTCGGGCGGAAGTCTCACTCGGACGACAGCGAAGCCGAGGGAACGATGTCAAAGTAAAACACAAAAAAAAGGAAAGAGAGAGAGAGACTGCGACACCGCGGCTGTTATCGAGCATAAAGGCGAGCCGATGGCAACTGGCGGCTGAGAAAGTTTCGCCTCGTCTTCCTCGCCCTCTGTCACCAGCCGTTGCCGAGGATGCGACGTAACGTCAGTTTCCTGTGTCCCGCCCCTCTCCCGCTCCCCCAATGGCTGGCCGCTGGACCGACACCTGTCACGGCCATCGACGTGATTGGCCCTCGCGCGCCGTCTGTCGTTATCGGTGCCGCTCGGTAGTTGACTTCGATGACGTAAGCGGCCCGGAGCGTCAACAGGTAACGCGGAGCCGGGAATTCATTAGGAGCAAAGCGGAGCCGCGCTGGCCGACCGAGGTATGACGAACGTGTTACTGCGGCGCGTGTCGCGGTAGCCGAGTGCGGAACTAGTTTAATCAACGTGTTCAACTCAGGAGGACAAAAGTAGACACACAGAGAATGTAAAGCGTGCTGTCCTGTTGGGATGTCCATGGGGACACTGGGTCCCAGTTTAATAACTCAATGTCTATGAATTAGCTTTCTCAAATGGTTCTAAAATTGTGGTAATGATAAGTAAATGAAAAATGAATAAGCAACTACTTTGACATATTCTAATTATAATGCTGGTTAGGCCTCCTTAAAAGTGGGAATGTAATGGTTATCTTTGCCCTACATAAACTGATTATCTATGGGGCTTTTACTATTGTTCAGGCAATACAAAATATTTTAAAAAGTCGCTTTTGAATCTGGCATTTTTACAATATTATGATTTATTATTATCGACACTGTTTATTAAAAATTGAATTCTTAGCCTATGCCATGATGAAAAGGAGTTGCACCCCTATAGACATGCAGTGTTTATTTATTGTGTCCAAATGTGTCCTTCCAAATGAAATAGGGCCCTAATAAATGTCATTAATTACACCTATGTTTTACCTGCAAAGAAATGTCAAAATGGCTGCTGTGAAAAGGGCCTCTCATCGAGGCCAAACACTGAGGAAGTAAAGACCATGTCTGCAAAACAGGTTTATCAAACCCTCCCTTCTTCTTTCACAACTTTCTATGCAAAACTATGTTATTTTATACTGACGTTCCTGAAAAACAACATTCCGTGCCAAGAACAAAAGTAAAGCATTTACATTTTCAAGTTGAAATAGTGTTTATTTGTCAAGTAAGAATTTATTTAGACAATAAAATTCAGGATATGTCAAGCAGTCAAATGCAGACTTCCATCATTTAAGGGATCCACATGGACACTAAAAGTGGCATTCAGTGCGCTGAAATTTGGAAATGTCCCTGTCTTTGAGATTGACCTTGAAAGTATAAGCAAGTATATGCATCGACTCATCAATGAAATAAGATATCACACAGGTTTTACACACTGCTCATCCGTCATCATACACTAACTGGCAGACACCTTGTGTTTGATAAAAGGCCACATGGTCTTGTTTCTCCGTCCGTAATTAAGCAATCCATAATATAACATACCATAAAACTGACAGCTGGTTTGGTTTTACTGATACTGACATTTCCACCTTATCATTCCAGAAAGGTTTTGGCAACTTAAATTAATCGGCCAATGCCTCAGAAGAAAAATGAATGTAATGCTTGAAAAGGCTGCGTACCCTTGACCCATTCAAACCTTTAGTTTGATAGTTTTCTAAACTCACAATGGGGTACCTGCACACCAGTGTGACGGTGAGTTAGCGTTCTCAATGCCAGCACCCGGAGAGAGAAGCTAAATGGACATCATTCATCTCTTTATTTACACGTCCTTTGAGAAAAATACGGGTCCTCAGTCACAAATGGCACGCACAAGTTCTCCACGAATCGTTTATTTTTCAACAGAATTGCAATCCATTGATCCGCGATCATGAGCCGTAGCACATGCGCAGCTGTGACAGCAAGACCCACAGTACCACCAACACACAATAAAAGAGTCTTGTGCAATTTACATTTACACATACCGTCATGCGTCTACAGTGCTCCAATTCTGTGCATGGATTATAAATATAAAACCTTACAGGTCTCACGGTTAAGTGTTTAACTTTTGACCTACGTTCCATAGCCAGCAGAGACTCTTAAACGAATGATGTTGAACACCAGCTACATTTATTGACACAATAAAAGGCATCACTTAAGCCAAAAAAAGTTTGTATTGGCCCCGGGGTTGTCGCGTGCCTCCCGTCAATCTCAAGCCCGGGTTGTGGAGGAAGGTCACCTGAGGCCCCCGGGGGCTCCTGGAGGATCTTGAGATCAGATGTTCCTGCAGCAGGCTTTCTCCTCCTCTGGCGTTTCTGCACTGGAGCTGTTCAAGGTCACAGCACTGATGGGCCCCCGAACCACCTCCTTACTGTTGGCCTTCCTGTGAATCTCTGTTGGCAGAAAATGAATATAAAAAGGCACATTACACTTCATCTGAGTAAGAGTGTAAAACACATTGCAATTAATTACCTGACAGGACGTCATTGAATGCTGCCTCCACGTTAGTTGACTCCAAAGCAGACGTCTCCAGAAACAAAAGTCCATTTTTTTCTAGATAGTAAAAAAGCTACATTAGTTGTTGTTTTTTTAAATCATCACGCATTCAAGGTTCTATAAAAATGAGCACACGGTGGCAACACTTGTTGAAGTTGTACCTGCGAAGTCTTTTGCCTCTTCGTTGGGCACGGCCCTCTCCGATTCCAGGTCGCTCTTGTTTCCCACCAGCATGACCACGATGTGGGGGTCAGCGTGGTCGTACAGCTCCTTCAGCCAGCGCTCCACACTCTCGTAGGTGAGGTGCTTTGTGATGTCGTAGACCAGTAGGGCTCCAACAGCACCCCTGTAGTACCTGTTCAGAGATGGATTTTACAGTTACTCCCCTGGATTGAAAAAACATTCAATCCCATTTTAACATGATATGGCAAACTTGTTAACAAATAGATACACATTCAGAAGTTAAGGAGCAACATACTCATTCGTTTGGTGTCATGCTTTTGACCGAATGAGGAATTTAAGTCCAGCATTCACCGCCTCTTAGCTGTGGGTTTGTTCCCTTCATACCTCCTGCCTACTGTGTCTGTCCCCCATTTGGTGCTCAGCGGGTTGTTTACAGTTGGTTTGTATTGCTGCAGAAACCTAAAATATGTTGTAAGAGCAGTGAACCAAGACCGTGAAGTTGGCGTTTAAAGATGACGTAACATTTCCACAGAGTTGAGGGAAATAATTCTCCCAGGCTCAACACAGCTAGTGACCCCTTTCCCCAAAACACACACAAACCCAGTCTTATTAAGGGAATATTGATTGGCCGCTTCAACCATTGTCTTAAATCTTTGTGGAGAATAAGCAGTTACTCTTGCTGTCAACTGTAAAAAACGTCTGGGGATCGCCCTGAATTCATGAACCAATCGATACTTCCTTCACAAACATATCTCGCTTTCCCTCTTCCAGCAATATAATTAATTCCGCTTTAATAGGTTTTCGCCGGTTGTTACAGCACAAATGGGAAATTCCATGGGTGTGAGAATTAGCATACTGGAATAAGTCGGCAAGTAATTACTCCAAAAGCCGAGCTGTCAGAAAGGAGTTAATCCAGCAGTGTAGCATATCCTCGGATTTTTCCATGTCTTAAAAATAAAACTGACATGGTGCTCTTGTTTTAAAACCAATTTCCACGCCGTTAATCCATCTAGTTGAATTGATTAGAAGAATGAATCAGGAGCGTCCTCAGTCAGAACGGGGACTGACGAGAGCAGAATGTGCCGTTTGCTGCTCAGGTAATGTGAGAGGAAACTGTGGAATCAGATCCTCTCCTTGCGTGTGTTTTGACTGATAATGACACCACCGCCTTGTTGCCGACATACAGGTTGCCCAACGACTAAGGAGCAAGAAAGCAAGCCAGAAAATGTCTTTAAACGTCAGCGTGCCTGCATGTTTAAGAAATCAGGGCAAATTTCCAAAACATGGTACCTCAGCACCGATTTGTGACACGTGTGCAGAAACGCACATCGCACTTTGCTACCAAAAGTTGCATTGTTTTTACCCAAAAGAATCCTGCAACGCGAACCATCATCATCTCCACTAACTGAGACTTTTAGGCAAAGTGTTTGCAATGCAGAACCAACCAGTTGTGCGTACAGACATTGTCTAATGATGGCTATCAGGCGAGCTGTTTGTCCCATTGTTGTCTTGCTAATCTAAGCTAACCGCAGAGCGGTGGTATCGATGTCCTCATCTAAACGGGAACAAAAATAACCGTGTTTCCCTAAATGTGGGCATATTCTTTTAGTGTACCATAGAAACAGTTTTCTGTGAGCCACTTGTTTTTGATTTATCCATCAAAGCCACAATGAAGCAGCCTATTGGCATTTTTATCCCACGTTCAACGCTAATGCAGCGAGGAAATCCTTTACGATTGCCAATCCCCCACCTGGACACCATCGAGAGCATCCGCAGGAAAAAAACACACAATCAAAGGTCTTTCGAGACTTTGCTCCCCGGCTGAACCAAAGGGCACGAGGTCACAGGAGCCCTCTTTGGGTTCACGTCAGCCGGTTGCTGGGGAGACGGTTCAGTAGATGGAAGCCGTGACGGATCGCCGCACTCACGCAGAAGTGATGGCCCGGTATCGCTCCAGTCCGGCCGTGTCCCAGATCTGGGCCTTGATGGTGAAGCCGCTGAGCTGCGTCGTCCGTGTGCTGAACTCCACCCCGATGGTTGTGCGGCTGTCGTGGCTGAACTCGTTTTTGGTGAAGCGGGAGAGAAGGTTGCTCTTTCCCACACCGGATTCTCCGATTAGAACCACTGCGGAGGACACAGGTAAACACAGGTAACGCAAATGCCTGGATCACAGTTTGGGTTTGGTTGTTGCAAAACTTAACTAAATAACATTTCTTGAGGGAGACAAGCTTCGTGTTCAAAGCGTCTTGTTTAAGGCGTGTCGGTCTCGGTCGCTCCGTAAACCCTCATTCTTAGCTGTCTGATACTGGGAGTAATTACACCACCGGGGATTTGATGTACGATTAAAAAAAATGGCACCACACCTCAAAGATCAATTATTTACGTGTTTTAACTAAAGCAGAGCAAATAACGACTAGAGAAGTTGAGTGAAACTGATGTTGGCCTGTAACAGCGGATTATTAAGGAGATAACCGAGGACCTTCTGGGCCCAGCATGCACTTGTGAAATGACAAATCTTTAATTGATTTACTTCTTTATTCAGACAGAAAGCAGCGACGGTACCAAGTGAAGGAAGATAAGCACAGGCTTGAAAGCAGTCGCGGCCGAGATGCGGTTGCAGAAGTATAAGACTTTACAAACTACAATTCTCTTTTTCGTTTGTCTGTAATCTTCCAAATATTTGAATGGCTCTATTTTCATGTATGTATTTTTCATTTGTATTTTCTTCCATTATTTTCACTTCTGCAAAGCAAAAGCAGAAACGTTGAAACAAGTGAACCTTTATTTGAGGAAATAAAGCCGTCCGTGAGAGGGTGAGGTGATCCTGAATCAGGTGGAACGAGTTAAGCTGCCTTTGATCTCGGTCAGAAGAACCTACCTGGTAAACAGAACGAGAAATAACCCACAGCCACCCCCTTCTTCCCCCAGTGACTAATGTCTGGCTCAGCCGTTAGTGGCTGACTCAGAAAAAAAGAGGCTTGGCTTAATTGGCACAGATAGGAAAATATGAGCACACTGTGAAAAGCCAGAGGCTCTGGGATCTCTGCACAAGATATAAGACAAGTCACGGCTTTCTGCTGAGGCGTGTGAGCCGGTGAACGCTGAGGAAATAATCCAAGTTCTTGTGACATCTCCACAAGATATTTAGCATGGACTCGACTCATGGACAAGAGTCGGGTGTTTCGGGAGGTGTACTTTTTTTTGCTTTCTTGCCAAGAGTTAAATGACAAGATCGACATTACTCTCGTGTTTGCATGACACCTCGCGACAAAAGTCATCAATCAACGTGTCTTATCTTGTCTCTTAAAGCCACACAAAAACTATAATGAAGGAAGCCAAAGGCTTTGGTCTTCCTGGGGCTTACTGGGCATCAAGCTTTGAAGGAACGGAGGTGGACGATTCCCCAAAAAATATTAGGACAAATCACGGCTCCAGTCTTAACATTTTCAAATCCACACATTTTTGTTTGGCTGTTTCTTATGAATTAGGATTAAAATATAGTAAATGTTGATGGGTGTGTATATAGCGATGTTAGTAGATAGGTATTTACTGTTTCATATTTTGTACATGAGTTTGGTTTATAAAAAAAAAATGATTGGTGCTTTTTAAAATAATGCACAATTCATTTTTTTATGAAGGAATATTATGCTTCTAGTATTTCTGTGCTGACATTTTCAATATAGGGCTTTTATGTAGTATTGGATTGATGTAGAATACCTATAGCTCACCTGCTGAGCAACCATATAGTTTATGAACTTTTAGTCATATCACATCTTCTTTAGCAGATGGAGTTTGTCATCATTTCCACACCCGCCTGCTGGTGAAGATCATGTGATGTGAGCTAAAGTCACTAAATGAGTCACTAAGTTATTTTTTCTTTTCCAAGCTCTAGATTAAACTTTGCACCTTTATCCATGACGCAGACATGGATGGACGAGAGGTCCTTAAAATGCTCCGAAAATCAATGCAGATTTGAACGACTCCTTGACGCCGCGGTAAACCCCATCTGCCGATGGAGACGATGGGATTGAAAGCACCAGCAGCTACTCGATGGAACTTGTGGAGGGGTTGTTTTCTGAACAGCTGTTTTCGAGAAGACAAGAATAAACTTCAGATGGAGTTCACGAATCCTTTCGCCAGCTGCGGAACAGCAGATACAGAAATGCTCCTTCTCCTCCCGTACAGGGGCCCTCTGGTAGCCCTTCGCCCCGGTCCTTGACCTCCGGAATGGTTAACCTGACGTCTGAAGCCACGGCAAAACAATGGTTTACACGCTGTTCCACTTGGACTTGTTTTAGGTAATTGTTCACTCCGTACTCAGATCACTGCACTGCTTTGTTCTCCAATGGGCGAGGTGAGAATGTCCGTCCTCCCCCCTCTTTTCCACCGCCACTCAGTAACTTCTTATGCAAACACTTCCCGCCCCTGGTTTCTATGGCGATACAGGACAAGAGGCCTTCGAGCCTGGTGGGTTGATCTTGAGAAAGAACTTGATGTGATGGAGTGAGCGGTGAATTGTGCTTCTGGAAAAGCGACTACTGTACTTATTTATCAGCAAGGTCTCTTTCTGACTTTTATACTTTTACTTACTGATTTAAACCTGCTTTCATCTCCGATTGCATGTCCCCGTTTATATTTATTCATATAGCATTTTATTTGATATTGTAAGTTTCATATAGTTATTTCTATATTTTATCTGCTCTATTTTATGTCAGAGTCTCATTGTTTACAAGCGTGGTTTTCTTTATACGTATCTAATGGTCATTGTTGGAGGGAGCCAGATCTAATATTTGTATTGCCGACGACTGCGTTCCCGTAATTGGTGAGCATGTGACAATAAATAACCCGAAAGTCAAGAGCCGTTCCACAGCATGCAGGTGTACAGTGGTGCCGAGTTACATTACACGTAAACGCTGTACAGGATGAACCCGCGGCCCTCAGTAACACAATGCAACTTGACCTTTTACAATTCATTCTTTACGCGGATCAAATGAAATATATCGGGTTGATTTGTGAGCTTCAGAGTGAAATGTGGGTTTGTTGCATTTGGACAGTGCCATGCTAGCATTTCCAGTCTTTATGCTAAGCTAAGTTGTAAATGCGATGTAAGGAGCTTTCTTTGACAAAATAAATACACACGTATACTCTTTATCATCGATTAAACAAACCTTAGTTTCTCCGCAAACAATAATGCAAAAGTCCCACTTTAAATCGTGTGTTTACCGGAGATGTAATGAAATGATTAAGCACGAATAAAGCACAATGAACTAATTGACTAAAAGGGTGGAATTGCACAAATGTAAACTACTTTTTGGCATCTCAGGCCTGTGGCTCTGATAGTTGCGAGTGTAGAGATAAGAAAACCGTTCTCATTTTTCCATGCAACTCTGATACAGGAGGAGTTTCTCACGATTTAATATTCACCTGCGGTGCCTTCTAACAACATCGCCCTTTGTACCCAAATGTCAAAGTGCTGCAACGGAACCAAATCACCTCTCCGAGCCACTTTCACTTCTCTTGTACATCTGCTAAGAGCCACCCGGTACCGTAACCTGCTGCACAGGAGAAATAATTACTGTGCCCTGTAAGTCGAGTGCTGAATGAATGGAGCGAGTGGAACAGGGCATGATTCAAGTCCCACACTTTTACAGAAGTTTAAGGAAGCTCCCGTGATGCCCTTTGTCTTCCGGCACTGATAAAGGGGCTTTAAACCAGACGCTCTGTTACGTTGTTCCTGCACGGGATGCCACAGATAAGCAGGAAATGAAGTACACATCCTGGTTTCGACACCTGTAGCATGCTTACTGCTTGCTCCGACAAGGACAACGCGCTGAAATGGGATTGTATCCGTCAACTAAAGAGTTTAAAAATGATTGAAACACAGACTTTAAGCCTATCAGTTGTATTAAGCGTGTATTAGTGTGTATTGTTCATCCCACTAGGCTGTCAATCACTAAAAGAATATTGCATTCATTTTCCACACACACCACACGTTCCCCTTCATACAAATAGGCAAGTTACTAGTGAACAAGGAAGTATAATTTGAAGGGCAACGCAACAACCCCTTTTCGAAGACTTTAAAGACACACGAGGGGATCGGATCAAGTAGGCAGGACAGCGGGCACTCACCCTTGAAGACAAAGTTGTAGGCCTCATCTGACCCCATGTTCTGTCCATTCAGTGTTGCCGCCCCTCGGTTCACTGCCGCGTCTCCAGCACTCACAGGCTGATCTGCAGGTCCAGGGTGCAAGAGGACGCTGACTCACGCCACAACGCAGCCTCCTCCTCAGATCCTCGGCCTTCCAGAAACAGTGTGGCTGCGGAAATGTTTCGACACATGTGTGCCACTCGCCAGCTTTTTCTGCCCTTCGCCACCAGTCTCTGTCCGAGCTACAAAGCTGCCTTGTTTGAACAAGACACGCTGAGTGTATCCAGGTTGTTGTTCTGCTGCGGCAGGCGGGGCTTGTGTCAGGGAGTGGTGGGGCAGCTGCAGAGGCGTGTCTTAATGCAGGGCAGGTTGGACAGGTGGAACCACTGGGCAGGTACAAGCCAGAAGGGGGCTGTCCGGCGCCTCCTGCTGGGCCGGTTTGCTCATTGGCTGCATGAAGCAGGAAGAGGCTCTGAAACCAGAGGTCACCGGGTTTTCTGTGATATCGTGCTGCAGAGCTTTTTTTTTTTATCAGTTTCTACTGAAGCTCAACGTGTGTGTTGATTCTTTTGCGGTCACACAGAATAAGTCATTTAGGGAAATTGTTTTCTTTGTTTGACGAACATGTTTCCAGATGCATTTCTAAAAGAAGACTTTTTTTTTGTATACTTTGAATAAATCTGTGACCTGATGTTTTGAGGTGTCTTATCAAACATCTTTCATCGTCCTTTAGCGACGATTTTATTGACCTCTAAAGAAGAAAAGGTCAATCAAACTGCAGGCACTCTTAAATATTGTGTTCTGAGCCATAAATGTGACTAGCTAGAGGGCTAGAGAAAACTATCATGGAATGTTATTTCTTTTTCGTCAAATAAGAGCTGAACATGAGGATGTTGTATTGTCCTGGTGACTGCAGGTATAACAAGCCTCAGCTTTGTTAAAGCGTAATGATGTAGCCAATCAAAAATACATCTAATGTGCTTTATCTTGATTCAATATATACATTACATTACATTACATGTCATTTAGCTGACGCTTTTATCCAAAGCGACGTACAATAAGTGCATTCAACCATAGGGTAAAAACTCAGGAGAACAAGAAACAAGAAAGTGCAATTTCCTCAAATAAGCCAATTTACAATTTGCTATAGATGAGTGACGTTACAAGTACAATCTAAGTGCTACAATTTGTTAGTCTTTAGTCGAGGTAGAGTCTGAAGAGGTGTGTCTTTAGTTTGCGGCGGAAGATGTGAAGGCTCTCTGCGGTCCTGGTGTCTTCAGAGAGCTTGTTCCACCATTTCGGCGCATGGACAGCGAAGAGTCGATATACTCTCAGAGCTTTATTATTAGACACAAAAGCAACCGATTCCACAACTATTTAGATAATTTAGAGAATACTGAAACGTTGGCTGCTTTAAACGCTTAATCCTAAATACAAAAGCTTTGAGCAGAAATACAATAGCCCATACACACCAAGCACTCAGTTCATGGCATAAAGACAAAATAAACAAGTGAATACTATTCCCCAAAAGGTTTTTATTTGACAGCTTTAAAATAAAATGGCGTAATCATCACTGCATGACAGACTTTCTTATGAAAGTTTTCAGCAAATCATTTTAGTCTTCTGAAAATTGAAATGTTACATTTTCTGCTCAACTGGGCTCAGTGAAGGATGAACTGAAATCAGATATGTTTGAATCAACATCCCAGCAGTCGTACACGCAGACTTATTGACAGAGGATTTGGACTTTCTGAAGAACTGGATGAGCTCAAGGTGTTGAAAACCCATACACATTAGTTTCAATACCATGATTATAACGACAGTGCCCCTCCCCCGCCCCCCCCCCCCCGGGCTCTCTCACACACACACACACACTCACACTCACATGTTAATGCATGTACACAGAATGTTACAGTAGTCCATGAATGGCCTGAATCATGTGATGCTTTTGTTCCAGGCTGACACAGTGGTCACTTCTCTACTACGACGCGGCCACTTGGGTCAATGGTTCCTCCAGGTACTGCACAAGGGCATCTGCCTGAGAACACAACATACACAGGACAATGTGACCTACGATTACCACCGAAACAAAAATCACTTCATGTTCTTTCCTTTTGGACATTTGTGTGAAACTCTCATGATAAGTGTAAGAATTCTAGAGTTATGGGCAATAACAGGTTTTATGAGGTCACAGTAACCCCTAACTTGTGCTAAATTAGAGCTTATTACGCCATTTGATATTTTCGCTATTGGCGTCGTTTTGCCGCTAATTAGCTTCATCTCCGGTGAAGGTATTCTGAGCATTCTGAATGTGTGCAATCCAGCACAATAGACGTTTGTTTCCAAAAGAAAACAAAACTCAGCCAGCGGACACTTGAGTTAGCGAAGGCTAGCGCGGGATACTCGCCCCTCAGTGACTACTTTCAAGTCTCTGATTCAGAAGATATCGCTCACAATGATGTTGGAGGTTTGAGAATGGCAAACATCAACATGCAAACCCCCGTTCGCATTTCTGACAGATTTGTTCACTTGTGCCTGCGTCAAATGTATGTGCAGAACATTGTCATTGTAAGACAACATTGGAAAAGGGCCACACGTAAAATTATGAGATAAAATAATAACAAGACGAATAAGGTTCACATGAAGAGTGAATACAAAATGTATGCTGTGCATACAATGCCCAAATCAGGTTAAAAGAAATGATTTTCCCACTTGTTTCTAAGCGATTCTTTTCTAAGACATCTTCACTGATTAGCTTGTATGACAGAATGTTTCAGTCCAAGTGGCCAGACTAAGTGAAGGCATCCACAATTATCTTGAGGATATTTGACTTTATGGCCGACTACTTTCCACGAGCCAGCTGGAACTGTGACTAAATTATAGTACGTTCAGGATCATTTATTTTGTGGAAACTGACGTGTTGGGAGGTCGGGAACCTTCAAAGGCCCCATTAAGAAGGTGTGTGCTTTAACCCCCGCAATATACGAATAAGCTGGGCATGTACAGCCAACCCCCGAGCGATGCATGAACCACAGTGGCAGTGAAATCAGGATATTGGTTGTACGGGAAACCAATGAATGAGGTCAGCACCGACTGCTAGGCAAACACTCACCTTGGCTTTAAGCATCCCAAAGCCCACCGTCTCTTTGGCGTACATGCACAGCAGTAGGTTTGCTACACGAGTGATGGCCACTCTTCCCTCCTGAGGGGTAAAACAAGAAGGAGAGAGGAACAAAGCGCCCCGGTTCAAACTGTTTATATCTCGGTCACTGATCACATGCTTGAGAACAACAGCAAATGGTTTTTGGAGGAAATGCACTACTTACCATACAGTCCATGAGTATGAATTTGAGCGTGTCCTCGTTAAAGGCCTGGTGGCCGTTCTTATCGTAGGCCGCCCAGATGTTGCTAGCGATGGCGGCTGTCACTCGTGCGTCAGTGTCCCCGTAACCCGAGTAGGCCAGAAGGGAACCTTCATTATTCAACAGGCTGGTGGGAATCGAAGGTTGCATGTTTCAGTATCCATCAGATGAAGAATTGAAATGATTTTACTATAGACAGAGTCTATTTGTGTATTCTCCTCATAGATATAAAAAAACGCATCACGTGCCACACAGCTAACTATAGATATGTAAATGGAAAAATAGAATTCCACCAACAATAAAATGCTTGTTCCATATAAAATTATATGCAATTTATTTTGATATGGTAAGTTGTAATGCAGCATATTGCACCTTATTGGTGGTCTTTAATTGTACTCAAATATCATACAACAAATAAACTATAAATAAGAGCATCTGAAGAAATGCAATCACTATATGAAGTGTTTACTTAAATGCAAACTAGTGAACCTAAACAATCAACTTTAGTAGTGCTCGAATAATTACATGACAAAAATAAATAAAAAAGATATCACAGTAAAATATGTGGTGGACTTTACTAGCTAGTAACTGGTCTTATTTAATGGTTATCACGGGATGATTCGCACGTCTAGATTTGATCTTCTTCGTTTGCAGACGTTTAGTCTCTCCCTGCAGTGTTAGAGAAGCCCAGTTTTAACCGTTATAACAAACAACACTTTGTAAAATGGTCAATAAGCACATCCCTTATGTAGCATGTAGCATAGCGCTAGCCTGCTAGCTAGCCGTACTCACAGAGTGCTCTGGACTCCGTTGGTGTTCGCCTGGCTGAGAACCTGCGTCAGCGCCTTCGGTCGTAACATAGCTCACTTTCTCACTAACGTGTGGGTTTTTAATCTCTCATGAAAGGCCTTTGAACTGTCAGGCAACACTCAACTAAACAGAGTACTGTCAGCTGACGTTTTTTTCCTTTTCCGGTTTTATGCATTCATACAATGCATTGTGGGAATTGTAGTCATCGAAGTTATTTACTGACATACTGTTCACCGTCAGCTAAATGACGAAAGTTATTTAGCTAAGAGTGTATTGTAGTTTACGTGAGTGTTTTAAATTAGCTAGCGGTTTAGCTAAATAGTCTATACTCCAATTCAGGCTTAAGTATTTACAGAATTAGTAAAGACCATCCGTTCGATGTTTCAGAGGAGCGCTTCACTTTATCGCACGGCATTTTCTGACGTCTGTAGCTAGTAAGTTTAGTACATGGAATGCCAGATAACGGAAAAATGAGTAGTAACAACAAATGGGTCATTTACCTTTTAATAATTAAAACAACTGTGTTGTTATGTTTGATAAAAGGCACAATACAGACTTTTATGATAACTGGATTAGTATTTATGGTAAGCTACATTTACTTAAAATAATGTCATCACTGTAGTATTTCAATTAATTGATTGGATTTCTAAGGAAGACATATACAGATCTACTTCTGATACCGTCCAAATATCACATGACAAGAAAACTAACAGGCTACAGGCAAAAACACTCAAAGTCAATGGTTAAATGTAACATAGCAGTAGTCAAACTGCATTGCCAAAGTAAACCACACATTTCCAACAGACAAGACACATTGCAAATAATTTATTGGACTGATAAAACCTTGTTTGGCGACTTTGTCCACATAGGGAGACATGCAACAATAGATTTCAGATTGTTTTGCAGAATCCAAGATGGCAACAATCACAATGAATCGCAGTATAATATTAGGCATCGACATTCCATGGAGACACCATTCTATACTTAAGAAGAAAAAGGAAAACCTAAATTAATGAGGTTTTTATACCAATGCAAGGGTTTACACAAAGGGCGAGTGGTGTACGGTATTTGATGTTTTTAAGGCGATACTGTGATTCTGGGGCTTCCTTTGTGGAACAATCTATAGATTCAGACTAATAAGATGATAATAATAATACTTGAAAATGAAAATGACTATTTTGGCTAATTCTGCAAATGAAAAACCTGACTAATGTACCTGAGGAAAATCTCCCTCGCCCCCCACACACACAAATACATTACACACACACACACAAACACACACAGTTGGTCCTGGAATTCAATTCCAATCCTAAAACATTTAAGCAGCAAAAAAATAAACTTTGAATAGATAAACTAAAAAAAAAGGACAAAACAAATAAACAAGCTGAGAGCACAGAAGACTATCATCCAACCTACTGCAACAACAGCCAAATAAAAAGTAAGTACAATGTGTTACAATTATACAATGTCAATCTAAGTAACAATTAAAATTGAATTCCTTGGTAACCGTGTGCGGACATCCAGTGAATGAACACTCGTCAGGTCAGAAATCCTCTGGTGCCACACAGGCGGACCTCACTGATTGTCGGCTGTACCGGTGCCGCCACAGCATGGGACCAGTTCTGTTAGAAACCAACCATGAGCCCCGTCAACCTCCCCCACTGGGGTTCACCAACTTCCCCTGTTTTTTTCTTCCTATAATTTAAACATCAGCCAGATTATAAGTGATATCTGGGTGCCAAGTCAGACCAGCATTTGATGTAGGACTGCACTCATGTGTTAACTTGTTTAAAAAAAAAAAAATAGAAAGGAAAAAAAGAATCGGCCATTCCAGTCCAAGACTGTACCAGACTTCGACCCTGAGCGCGTCAGGCCAGGAGTCTCTCGATGGCGGCGTTGACGTCCCCTCCTGTGGCGATGAGGGCCTGCAGGTTGGCTTGGCGGTCGATGAAGCCCATGGTGTTGAGCTGGTCCAGCTGCTGCTGGAAACGAACTTCGGGGGTCTGAGCCTAAGAAGGAGGCGGTGTCAGATTCTGATTACCACCAAATGTTTCTGCCTAACAGCTGATTTTGACATCTGCTTTTCCCAAATAAAAACCAATTGACCTCCAAGAACAGAAAAGTCATTCAACTCAAACTTTAACTGACAATTTCACGTCCTTACTTTTACTTTGTTAAAAGTATAATACCAATAAAACATTAAATAATAAGAACACTTGTAGGATTATCTGGTGGTCTCAACGGAAAACGCCAAGAATTTTTAACAAGTTCTTAATTAAGAGGTTGACAAGAGAAAAAACAAGTCAGACTGATGCAATTAGATGAAACATACCGATGGCCTTCCTCCAGCAAACATCTGTAACATCTGTTGAAGCAGCTGTTGGTCAGAGGGACTGGTGGGTGAGGTGGGGCTGGATGCTGTTGCCATGGAAGGAGGCTGAGGGATCTCTGTGGTGATGCTGCCGCCGCTGGCTGGGAGACCTGCAAGACCTCCAGGAGCCAATCTGGGGATGGAAATAAAATTAAAATGAAAAATTGAATATACGGTGACTTCAAATGCTTCCCAAGTGTAGAACATAACTCCTACGGTATACATAAGCAAGTGACAGAAGGAAATCTGAATAAATAAAAGTTGACCACCAAATTGAGAATAGCCGGTACCTGGACATGAATCCTGGGGCTTCTGTCTGTAAGGTCTGCAGGCCCTGTTGGATCTGTGTGAGGGCCTGCATGGCTCTGGGGTTGGTCAGCATAGACAGTGTTTCGGGACTCTGCATCTGCTCAATGACAAACATGACACAAGTCAACTCCAAACCCAACACAGTCTCCAAAGAGCGGATTTGATCTTGTGCATGCAAAATAACATTTTTGATGTCTGCATTGATTCTCCCCGGAGCATTTTAAACCTCTGAGGATGCTCTGGGGGTTACTAAGCACCCAGTCCTGGTTACACATCACCTCTTGCATCACTGCTGGATCCCTTGACTGTATGTTTTCTCAAGGGACGGGATGATGTAAAGGACAAAAACAAGCAGTGAAAGCTAAGGAAGAGCCAACGGTTAAGTACCGTCTTTATTCCAGCACATTCTACTGGATCAAGTTGGGCCTTAGAACAGTGGTCCCCAACCTTTTTTACCTCACGGACCATTTTCATGTCAGACAATATTTCGCGGCGGGTTCGAAAAGTTCCGCCAGGGAGGGGGGGGGGGGGGGGGGTGTAGTAGTCGCGCGCTCTGTGTTCGCTGGTGGGCGAAACTGCCATGCACGGTAAGAGGAAAATTGTAAACGTGAAGAAAAACGCCTGGTGACGCGTGGGGAATATGTCAGAGGGACGAGCGCACATAATTAGGAGAAAATCCGGTCAATTTTCAAAATAAAACATTTTTCAGAAAAAAATATATATATAAGCTTTCTGTGGTGTGGCCCGGTACCAAACGGCCCACGGACCGGTACCGGTCCACGGCCCGGTGGTTGGGGACTACTGCCTTAGAACATGAATAATATAATAACTAAAATAAAACCAATTAAAAAGAATATAAGACATATGCAAGCAAATGGGGCGGGACAACAGAGGTCGATACCACAGCGGGAGAAGAACACACAACACTAATATTTTTGTATCCGACAAAACTGCTGCAACTAACCCAAGACGTTACTGTGAACGATTGGGCATCTATCAGGACAGACAAAAGCCTCAGACACTCCGCTCTGACCTGTCTCATGAGCTCAGGGTTGTTGAACATGCTGGAGACGTCCGGGGTCCGTCCCATCAGCTGCTGCATCTGAGGGTTGCCTGCGAGCATCTGTCTCATCAGGTCCGGGTTGGACATCATGTTCTGCACCATAGGGTTGCCCATCATCTGCGACAGCATTTGCGGGTTGGACATCAGCTGGGTCTGCACCTGCTGCTGCATCTCCATGAAGCTGGAGGAACGCATGCCCAGACCCAACAAGCTGGACATGTCCTCAAGTCCACCTGAGGAGGAGGAAAGCCTGCGATGAGCTCCTTTGTGGTGAGTGAATAGTCAACCAAATATGATTTTAAAGTGCTATATTTATGATGGTATCTTGTCAAAAGTCTGTGTCGCAATACAGTTGAGCATTTTGATTGATTTCAAATCTATAGTAAAGCTACATTCACGTCCAGTCACATAAATAATAGTATTAGCAGTATTATTAATAGTATTATTGCCCCAACTTTCATGGTGGACCAATACTGAACACTGCATACACAGTAATGTATGGGCCGTTTTAAGTCATTCATGTTTAGTAAATGGCTTAGAATGTGTGCAGTGGCACAAGACAAATCCCAGCGGTTCCCCAATTACGAGGTAAAGCAAGCAAGTAACTAATTATGAGTATGATTCTAACCCATCGCATGAGCAGGTGGCGTTGGCGTCTGACTCGTGCCAGTTGTGGCTCTGTCTGCCGTGGCGCCGACGTTGCTGCTGCTGCTGCTGCTGCTGCTGCTGCTGCTGCTGCTGCTATTTTGAAGTGTTGCCGAACGGGAAGTCGTTTGAGATGTACTGTCACCTGTCGACCTTTTGGAGAGAAAGCAACCAACAAAAAACAAACTCTTACCAAACTATTCATTGGATATACAGAAACAGAATGAGCACGATTTACACCCGTTTCGTACTACACATGCATAGGACCGGCGCTTACTTCGGGGCAGTCTTGATGACAAGATGAACGGTCAAGCCGTCTTTGATACCGTGCTGGTTTAACGTGTCGCCGTCCTTCAGAATCTTTCCAGCGAATATCAACACCAGCTGGTCGTGCTGGGCCTCAAACTTCTTGGACACCTCCAGTTTGAACTTTACGAATGAGACAAGAACCTTTGAAGATTACTAACAGGGCCAAGTACAGACTTGATCAACTTATCAACAGTGCTGAAGAATATTGAGCAAACTCCTGAGATGCTCTCACGGTCATGTGTTGACCACCTGGTTTGATGATGTAACAACGCATCATGAATGATTGTTGGCTCATTGAAATCAGGCCAGTTTATAACAAAGCGTTAATTCGAGCAAGCAGAACGACACAGCTGTTAGAAGGTGAATATAAATATCTATAGACAGTAATTGATGGACTGGATCATCAGTAGTGCGTCACATTGCCGTTTCATTTTATAGTTCGCCATTAGTTTCACTCCGTAGCAAAGAGTAGGTGATCGATACCAGGACGATTAATTCGAATTATTTAATGCAGTTGGTCGACAGCACCACGCCCAGATTCTACCGGCGACCCCTCCATCAAATAACGGAGCATGACGTTACGTCGTCATCGCTTTAGACAAAACGTAACGAACACAATTTCACTTATAGTAGAATCGTGTAGCTAACGTTAGCCGTCAGTTATCGTCACTGCCCGGGTCAAATATCGCGATATTACACAAGTTGCAAAGTCAGCTGCGTGGACTGCGGGTGTAAACGGTTAACGTTAGCTCTGGTAGCGTGACGCCAACTTTCCGGTTTTTGTCGTAAGAGCACAAACCAGTTAACATGTAAGCCGACTCAATGACAGTATAGCTAAGGTGCGCAGCGCTGCTGTGTTATAAAGTGACGTTTCGACCATTTCCGAGGGAAACGTTGTCAAATATCTGCTGCCGTCGTGTCGGGAGAAGGTGAATCGACGCACCTGAGAGACAGAAGAATCCTCTGGAATCGAGATGTCCTCTTTTCCATTTGGAGTTTTCACAGTGACCACCATCATAGGTGCTCGGGCGGCAACATTTTTATCCATGTTGTCATCCTCCGTACGCTCCGTGCTGCTTTTCTCCGCCATCTTTACTAATGTTTCTCTCTTCTTCTTCTGCGTCATTTCTGGTTTTCTTCTTCTTCCCGTTTTGTCTCCTGCATTGAGGAGAACTACCGCCACCCACCGCGTTGGAGTTGTACAACAAAATACTATATTAGTACAATAAAATTATAATTTCTCCACTTACTTATTGTTGAAATAGTGCCTCAGCAGTATTGTTCTTCGAATCTTTATTTCAACATCTCGATCTATTTCTTCCATGGCAACTCCTTCACGCACAGCTATTAAAACGGTTCAAATATTAAAATATTCAGCTCCTTCAGGGCATTCCTGCTATGACTCTTCAGCTTTCTACTTGTTATGTTTGAATTAATATAAAACAAATTGTGACCGTAAGCAAGACAGGTAGATGTACTCCCTGAATGAAAAAAGTGTTTCTTTTGTTTTAAACCAACATTGTGGACAACCACTGTTTTTCCCCTATTTAGTAAATGGGTGGCTATTTAATAAGCCAATTGCATGGGCCCTTTGTGTTTCATTTTCTTGTGGGGCTTTCTGCTGTGTTGAAGGGAGTGACACAGTAATAGAGCAGCTATCTTGGATGTGTTTGTTGTATGGTGTGGTTTGTTTTAGTCCTCTTATTTGCTGTGATTTGATTGGTTTCTTTGACGTGTTTGTTCTTTTATATTTTGTGACTATTTACTTTATGGTTAACACCTTTACACTGACCCAAATGTTACAAGTTAGTCCCACATGGTCTATTATCTTTGTTGGTTTTGTTTGATAGAGATAAACAGTATTTAATCTCTTTTTATTGACTAATTTGAAGAGTTAATTTAAACCGTTTTCATTTATTCTGGCTCTGGTGGGTAGAATATCACCGGGTCACATTTTATTTATGCTATTAATACTACTACTATGACTAATAGTATCATGTCTGTATTCTCAACAATTAAAAAAAGAAAATCAGCTTTTAGATTTTAGCTTTGCGGGAAATGCATTTTGCAGTTCACAGGTGTTGCAGCTGCAGCTGTGAGTAGCGTCATTTAATCTCCTGTGGGCTCAGTGCAGGCACCTCACTTCCCTGGTGTTCCATGAAACAAAATCATGTTCCAGTCTTCTGAAATCCTTGTTTATCCAGGTGATATGTTATTGCAGGCAAATATTTAATAGTCCCTGATAATATTTTTCGTTGCAGTGGTGTGGCTGCTTGCCTTCAAGATGATAAAAAATATAATCAATTTCTTTTTTTGAGACACACCTTTGCAAGCTGTGGAAACAAACGGTGAAAACATGTTTGAACAATCAGTCTGAATCTCGCAAACTGATATTTGTGGTCCACACCTAGATATTTGCAGATAACCAAGCAAAATAAATAGGAGTAGTTTTGTTGAGTTGTTCACATTCGGCCATCTGAGTAGCTTCCGGCAAGATCCTCCTGGCTGTAAGGTATCGTAGAAAAAATATCTTTGACCTGATACTGTTAATGAAACTTTTTCAAAGTGAACTTGCAAGTGCTAATCAATTAATGCTGCATAATTATATTATTTATTTGAAACATTTTGCCAGGTTGCTCACCTCGCCTGCAATAATGAAGGCTGGTCATCAGTGTCTGCTCTTCTACTATACCCTGTTGTCTGTCACGTAAGTATAATAAAGACGTTTTGCAGGCAAAATGCAAGAATGGATTGTTTTTAAGTGGCAACTTCTTCTTAAACATCCCCAAATCTTATTCTAAACCACCAGCTTTCTGTGCCACGGTAAAGACCGATCCTTCAATGACGACGGAAACCTCATACTCCCGGGGTCCTACAACATCCCGTGGATGGCTGGGATTGAGGATTTCCGCACCCTCTCTCTCATCTCCATCCCCGGGTCCCATGACAGCATGGCCTTGCACGGAGGACCGGAGGCCAAATGCCAGGCCTGGTCCCTGAAGGACCAGCTCAGGGCCGGCATTCGGTTCCTGGATCTCAAGGTGTTTGGACTGGGGGAACACCCTCTACGTCATGCATGGAGTGACGTACCAGCACAGCACTCTCAAGGACGTCCTGGACACCGTCCGAGCCTTCCTGTCAGAGTTTAATAGCGAGGCCGTGCTCATCAGAGTCCAACCAGAGTCGTTTGAGAAGAATACCGTCAACGAAATGGTCCAGAGTCTCATTGGCGACGACCGGAACGTCTGGGTGAGCCCTGGAATGCCAAACATGGGTCAGGTCAGGGGGAAAATTGTATTCTTACAGAGGAGCACCTTCACGCTAGGGATTCCCTTCATAGATACAAACGGGCAGAGTAACGAAAAGGTTAGCAGCATTAAAGATAAAGACAGCCGAATAATGACGCAGCTGAACCAAGCCACCGAAGCTTGTGGAGGAGATAATGCCGTTGTGACTTACACCAGCGGCTCTGGCTTGGGTACTTTTTGGGGGATGTTCCTGACTCCAAAGAGAGTGGCTGAAAGGATAAACCCCTGGCTCAATCAATACCTGAGACAGTTTTATCCTAATCAACCAAGACCGTGCAAGGGCGTCATTGCTATGGACTTCCCCAGCGTCGACCTCATTCAAACTGTCATCGATTTAAACTGGTGGTAATTACGTACCAGAGTCTGAGAGGCCGAGGGTTTGAATTCAAATGCCTAAGACGTGTTTCCTGTATCTTTCACATCCCTGTAATAACGTTGATGTAACTGAAGTATTGGAAATACATAAATGATTATGAAAAATGAAAGTCTCCTTGTCTTCATTGGTGTAAAATCCTCCTTTAATATTAAAATTAAGTAAAAGGACAAACGTTGCTAAATGTACTTTTAGTATTGAGAGCGTCTTGTTAGACCGATGTTATTATTACATTATATTATTATATACATGTGAAATATTTGAATTGAGGTAATTTCAACATACTGTTGGGTTCTTTATAATCAGATCTTGTACATTTACTGAAGGAGTCGACGCCTCTTGATAACACTGGCTTAGATGTGAGCTCGTTGCATAACTCACCAGACAAGAATGTGATCTGTGAGTCTAGTGAAGGAGGAAATGAACTGAAATACTGTGAAGCACCAGTTTACATCCAACTTCAACTCAGTACTGGAGTTGAAGTTGACATTGTACTACCGACAATGCAAACCTAACTTACAATTATCTTCACTTTTTCTTCTCCGTGGTGATTGATCAGCATTGAATTAGATCTGTCAGTTAGAGGAGGAATGGTGTCCTGCTGTGCTTGGACTTTTGCTAAGCAAGCTCATGTTTATAATTAAAGCAAGCATTTGTGTTTGGATCCCTTTGTAACTTCATGTATTGTCTGTAAATTTGCACGTCTATATTTTCTTTGTCTGTTATTTAGCAAAAGTTCAGCCACAAATACTAGTAATCGTAACACCTGTGTAGTTTTATGTCCCCGTATTAGACCTGAGGCTTCTTTTTTTCAAGATGATTATACAAAATCTAAAAATTGTACTGTTTTTAGCCACGTCACGTCATATATATGCATATTTGTATTTTTCCACTCTGTTCATCGATCTGAAAACTACATTGAGAGGACCCCTAACAACATAACTGACTAGTTGACTGCTTAAA